CGTGATCAGAATTCAAACCAAACCAGCAGGAACTACCAGTAGCAATTATAGTGCTCTATATAACTGCAAAAGGTTCTGCCTTTTTTCAGGCAGAAAGCCAGCTTAGCAGGGTAAAAAAAAAATCTTAGAGCTCTTTATGCTTAAGTGAGTGATCATCCCGCATTGCTCCTTCAGGGTCCCAGCTTTCCACCAAGTGTAAGTCCCAGCCTTAAGAGAAGCACCTCAGAAATTTATAAACAAGGCTATGGGGTCTTCATAGGGCATAGCCTGCAGGCAACAGCACCAGCTGTACCACAGCACGCACAGCCTGTGTATGGGAGCACTGGGATTTGGACAGTCTCTTAAACCCCACAAACAGGGGCCAAACAACTGAGCAAGTTACCAGACCAACCAGAAGTAGGTGGTGGCTGAAAGAAACAAAGGCATATCTGCATCCTGTTTCACAGGAAAGGGACTCATTTAAAAAAAAAAAAAACAACCTAAATTAAAAAAAAAAAAATCAAGTAATGGGGTAGATGATTCACTCCAAGATAATGCTTGCAGTAACATGAGATTTGAGCCAATATGAGCAACTAGTTTCTGCACAAGAATAGTTATGGGGCCACTCCACCACCCCACAAAGGGGGCAGAGAGGGGAACATGGAGTTTGAGGTCTTCCTTATGCTCCCACAGCCACAAGGAGCAGGGCTGGGCCTGCTACCACGGCCTCCCTCCTCACCACAGAGGGGCCAGGCATCACACCAGGGCAGGGCCTGCCTCCCTGAGCAGCCCTAACCAGGCCTCCAGCCTTTCACAGCTAAAGGCAACCACATACCACAGCCCTTTACCTCCAGAAACAGCAACTATCCTCCAATAGCAATGAAAAAGAGCATTGTTTAAAAAAACCTAATTCACTAACCTTTTACCTCCAGTCCCACAACAGCCTGTCTCTGCTGCTGTAACCTGTCCCTCTTGTCTTGGCCCTCTCACAGCCACAGCTGCTCCTGTTTGTCCCCTGGTGGAGTAATTAACCACTCCTGCAGCGGCAATTAACAGCTCCCAGGGTTTAACTGTTCACAGGCTGCTGCCAAGCCCAGCCCCAGCATGGTGCACCCTGTGCGAGGCAGCCGTGCCCTTCCCCAGCGCTCACCCACACAGGGCCTGGCTGCCTTTGGGAAATGGCCTTTTTGGCATTGCTCACGTGAGGTGAAATCCAGCACAGAGCAGCCCTGGATGCTGAGGTGGGGTTAACTGGGTTTCACTGAGGCTTCCAGCAGCGGGAGGTGGGCAGCTGCTGTAAATCAGCCCCTAAGGCCCAGGACAAGGGTTTGGCCCCTTGCAGGTGGGCTCCCACTGGGGCTGTATCTGCTGGGGTCAGGAGCAGAGTTTTTTCTGCTAATTAGATTATTAATTAAAAAGCTGGTAGGTTATTAATTAGAAATTAAGAGTTGGTCCCTCAGTCCTTCTCAGCCTTAGGTGACAAGAGGAGGTTCAAACTCTGTAAAATGTCTCTAAGGACCAGGCTAGGAGGCAAGGCTCCAAGTGATGGAGGATGGTTGCTCTCTAATCCTCCCCTTGAAGCAATTTTACTGCACAAATGAAACACGAAGTTGTGGGGCCATGGAGAAACAGAAACAGAAATAACAGCCTCAGGTTTAGGGCATGGTCAGAGGAGAGGCTCCAGGGTTCAGACCTTCCCTTTTAGGCCAAGCTGTGCTTCTCTTACCCACTGCCTGCTGATGTAAAATGTGTAGTAAGTTTGGGCAATGACTGGAGGGGTCTTGGTTTGTGAGCAAAGAAAGGTCCTGCCGAGACCTTTTCTAGATCCAAGGCTACATTAACTGATCCATGTAACACATGTTCTGCAGTCTTTAGATACAAGACGCCATCATTTTCACTTACAAAATCTTGGGCAACTTGACACCTCAGCTCACTCTCTCTCCATGACATACTCTGGCAATAGAGACCAATGCTGAGCTGAGGCTAATATGAACAGTATTAATTGCCTGCAACACATAAGGTGTTGTCAGAAGTAGACCCATTAGCAGACAAGGGAGTGACTGTATGCTGCCAGAAATGCCTTTTGACCTTTGGAAGATTTGCCCTGACTCTCTTTTGTAAGAGCTGAGGATTAGTTGCCTTGAATCTATCAGAAGGACAAGGTAAGTTTAATTTTACATTAAAATGAGTCACATAAGAAACCTGGATGCAAGAGAGAGGGACTAATTTCCCCTGACATAGTACTGGCAATTAGTATACTCCTGGCTGCTACACCACACTGCAGTTTCTGACTCCTTCAAACTTGGAAAAAGGTTTTAGCACTGGGCAGCAACCAGGAGTGTGTGAGTTTGACTGGCATGTCTCTAGGACAGAAGGGACAAAAAGGGCACACCCCCAATATGGCAGTGTAATACAGTCCAAGACAACTCAATCCTCATCAGATCAGCATCTGCCCCTAAAGGACAGGTATAGCTGAATTTCTTTTAGGGCAGATGGGCCAAGTACATAGTGGAACAAATTCAGTCAAGCAAATTAATTCAAAGAATAAGTTTAGCTGCAGCGTATTTGACATTGCCCTTATTATTAGGAAAAAAACATGCAGGGTAGGGCTTTCTGAAATCCTACTGCATTCACTCCAAGAACAGCCAGAGAACAGAAGAAAGCAAGCTTGACCTGCTGTGTCCATCGGGTTTGGCACGTCACCCTCCTGCTATGCCTGCAGAGCCACCACCACTATCTGAGGATAAGAAGTTGTAGTAAATGTACCTGGCTAGAGCTGGAATCCATAGCAGGAGTGAAATCCCATCTTCCTGCCTGAGGTTCTCCAGCAGGAAGAAATGAAACAACTGGCTGCAATAATGTTTTATTCTGGAGGACAGAGATTCAGAAGACTGCAGTAGAGTTGATTTAGTGAAGAGTTAAGGAATGTGTTTCCAGGCACTGTGGTTTTCTGCTTCACAGTTCTGCCAAAATAGTTTTGGGTAGGGATTCTCAGGCTTAGTGCAGCTGAAGTTTCTTTAAGAAAGATTCTCAAAAACACCAAAAGAAGAGTTTTGCAGTTTGAAAGTGAGCTCACAGCTTTTCATTATGTACCCAACCCACTACGTCCATAATACCTTAAACTCCTACTGGTATTTCTTACACTAGGAGCTTTTTGGAAACAGAAAGTTTGGCATTAGCGCAGCTTTCTCTAAAACCTGTGGGACTGCTGAACGCTTTGTCTACTGTTCCCAGCCCGATAGGATTGTAAACAGGTTTTGTTTTCTTACTTGCTAACAGGCAAGTCACAGGCAACTAGAACAGACTGATACTTCAGTGAAAAGAAATAAGGTGTGTTTCATTGTCAGAAAAGGACAAAAAAACAGTTGGTGAGTCAAACAAGAATCTTAAATTTTAGGAAAATCCTTAAGAGACCATCACACCCTTTTCTCTCCAAATAATAATAATCCCTGTTTATCATGACCACAGGACCCATTTCTTCAATCCTTAAAGCAAAAAACCCTGTTACTTTTTGGTTTTGCATCCCTGAGCCCTTTAAGCATAAACAAAATGTATGTTCAACTTCTAAAATTGAGCTATTGTAAAGCATTCTAGAGTGATAATTTGCAATGCTGTACACCTAATCTTCTAATCCTTACTTGAACCAGAAGCAAGCTGTTCCTTAATTCACCCTTCATCTGAACTAAGCTAGTGAAGGAGTGAGAAG